CCGCAATCCAAATATCGATCTACAATCGATATGTATATACTCTCAATCAGATATACAACATCACATTCGTACACAACAATTTCAAGAAATACTTACAAAAATGGACACAATACAACGACAAACAATAGATCAAAATTTACGCAAACTTGCAGAAACCGCTGGCTTTTCAGACATTTACACACAAGAATACAGCGGATATTTTAAAAATATAAAGGACAGCATATCTTTAATTGGTGAAAAAATTAGACCACAAGATATCTCACCGATAAATATTTTTAGCATCGTAGCATTGAAAAACGAAATTCTTGCATTTCTAGGATGGCCCTATTACATTTTAGAAAGATTGACTATATTATACGCAAATTTCAATTTAATCGGATTTCTTTTTTCACTATTAAAAGGAATCTATAACACATGCGCAATACATACACAACTAAACTGACAATCAAGCGCAGCACGCATACTATTTGCAGGATTTTTTGGAACTTTTTCTGCATCAATAAACAAAATACTTTTAGATGCACAAATTAATGAATATAATACAAAACTATCAACAAAACTAAACACATTACAAGTCACAAAACAATACAAACGTATCACCAACAGCACCAAAATTACCAAATTTACATCATAACCATCCATTATCCTTAAAATCACAAAATTTTAGAATTCTAGCACTCACAAACCCTGCAAATTCAAGACCTAACTATATGCAAAGCCCCCTTCACCACATAGTAACACAACACTCCCAAAATGACGATACATACGGAAAAAAAATCGAACAGCCCCATACCATCATTTTTCAATCTCAAAATAATCGTTTTTTTAGCCCACGATGAGCCGACAAATTGGATCCCTCCGCCGTTCAAATTCCCACCAAGTCAATCTCCAAAATCCAATCCCCATCATCCCACATTTTGCTTTCCCGCCACCTGATTTGTCTTTCATTAACACATCATCCGGCATACATTCTGATGCTAACTCAGATATTACAGTTTTTCATACAATTTCCCAATTTGAACAATCCGACTTAGAAACCCCTGATGAATTTGCAGATTCCGAACTTAGCCCCTCGAAGTTTTCTCAACCCAGCCCCTCAACCTTCTCAAAACCTCTCTTTCAACCCATCCACTTCCAAACCCAATGTGCATCCCCCTCTACCCCTTCTGACGTTTCCCAAGTAACTCCAAACTACTTCTACAACTGGACGTTCTCCAAACAATTCCCCTGATAATACCCAAATTTCTTATGAACTAAGCAATCTCATAGCGCTACAACAACAAAGACAACACCCTCACACCCTAACTATTCATCGATTATCTTCAACAATAACGTCATCAAACCCACCAACCCCTTCACCTTTTTTAGACTACACCCCATCTTTAGCTCAATCATCCACATCAACGCAATCATCATCCAGTACTAACAGTGCATATAGAAATTTTAAACGAAAAATCCCTAATCACCCGTTTCCATCCAAACCCGGAACCGCCCGAGAATACATTAATCAACCATCTCATACCAATACTACTAAATTCCTCCAAGAAACCTTACCCATTTTTCCTCAGTATAAACATAACCAATCCGACCCTAACCCTGAACCACACAATTTTTTAGACAAACATGTATTAATCCCTACATTCCATTGGACATCTTATTATAATTTTTGAAATCCCCTTGCTTTACCACTCCTTAACACAGCACAAGACACTGAAAGAAATAAAACTGAACTATTTAAACTAACTACAGCACTAACCCCTCGACAATTCAAGCACGTCGGATTCCAAAAACTCTTGAAAACATTCACCGTACCCCGAGCTAACGAGTATTCAATCAAATATTATGATCACAGTATCATCAGACTTAACCAAGATCAATTCCTTGACGGCGATCAATTCGCTAACCCACAATTAACTGATTTTTTTAAATTAAAACACCTTATTTATTCACAGTCAGCATGCTAGACAAAAAACACGATCACATCACTTCAGAAGCACTATCTGACATATAAGCTGACGAATCATTTTTTGAAAAGTTTGAAACCTTTTCACTAAACTTTCACTTCCTTACACCCAAAGAACGTGCACTGTTATGGCGACATCTTGTTAAAAACTAAACAGACACACGCCTACAATTATTATCAATTCATACAAAATCATTTTGACGTACACACACCATCACGACAACCTCATCACCGATTTCAATTCATTAACTCCAAATACACATCACCGTTTTTTCTAAATTTCACATATTGTATTAAAAATACTAACCTTCAAGGCATCCTACGTAATTATGACCCAATCACGCATATGTATATATTCTGTCCCCTCACCAAAACCGTCAACGTAGAAGAGTCTCGGCCACTCATTGTCCCGCATGAATACATTCAACCTATAGAAATACCTATTTTAAAATTTATCCACAACACTAAATACGATCACAAACTTTACAATCTAATCCAAACGAACCTTATGAAGTTTCCGTTGGCACTGAAGAACTAAAAACCATTAAGGCACTCCAATTGATATGGCCACTGCTTCAGACTAAAAATATCATTTGCACATTAGCAAAACTACTAACCACATCTGATGTCATTCACGATGTTTTTCCTCATGGCTTCTTTCCTGACGAATAAGGTAAATATGAATTGAATAAGTTAAAACTAACTAATTCGAAATAACACTAACCATTCTTTATGAAATGTTTTTTCTTTAGTCTTTAGATCACAATCACCTACAAACAAGAAAAACCAAATAAAAATACAAAACTCTTTTATAAACTATAAATTTTTCATAACAAACCCTACTAAATGATGCAGTAAAATTTCTTCTCCGTAGTAATAAATTAATCTATAAAGTATTTTCCCCGATGTAGTAAATGTAAATACGATGAAAATCAATTAATAATTTGAACCCCCGCAAAGCAGTAAGATTCAACATTCAAGTAGTAAGTTTATACAAGAATAGAGCAGTACTAACCTTGTATATCGCTTCTTTATATTCACTCGCACAAGAATTCTATCCAAACTCGCGCAGCTCGCCCATGACGAATTGTTTAAAATAATAAATTCAAATTTTAACTTTCGCTAACAACAACTCAAACAAGCGATAACAAGTTTCTAACTTTCTGTTAACCCGGTTGGAAAGAAATTATATAATAACCCAAACTAACCAACACAGCTTACCAAACACTATAAACCATAAACTAATGGAAAAGAAAACCTAAGGTACCCAAACCGGATTAAACCAGCTTAAGAACAGGACAATTTATTCTTTTGAAGACTATTGACAAGTGTAAAAAAGAAATAGTAAAACAGCAAAAAGTCGCAAGACAAACCCATACCAAACATTTTCATTTTTAAGAAAAGGACAAAATCAAAACAACAAAAGGAAAAAACCAGTAACAAACATAACCTAAAACGGTAACACAAAACAGGACCCCATAAAAAACCAGCATGCAATCATACCCTCACTCCTGGCCTAACCCACCAGAAGAGGACGTCCTGAGCATGCTCTATAGCCGGCCTCACCCACAGTGCTACATCCACGCTGTCTGACCCCTCCCTATTTTTGACAAAAGGTACTCAGGGGTGAGTAACTCTTAAAAATAACAGATATAAAATTTAAAACTTTTGCGATGACTACTAATAGAAATCATAACTAAAAAACCGAATTAACAAAAATTTTATATAGGTAAATTAAATGATGCAGTATATAGATCATACAAGACCACGAAGACGAGCATCACGAAACTAGACGATACCCTCGCACTCAATCTACAGAATGGCTAAACACAACCGATATGCCGCTCACAATCACAAACAAAAAAGGATTTGAAGTACGACTTGGCATCGCAGCAAAGGACTTCATTGAACCAGACCAATGACCACCTCGATATTCGAGTATACGTACAGATCCGAGTTATAAGGCATTGCCTCCAAACTTAATCTTTACGCCATTTCCAGACAAGGAGAAAACACAGTCAGTTCTCCGCCGAAGCAGAACGAACAATCATAGCAAACCATTTTGAAATCAGATTGATTTCGTTGGCGGTCACAGTCATTGTTGAATGACAACCCTCAAATTGACCATTCTAGCTTCCTGGAATTTCCTTCTCCAAGAACGGAATCAAAGAAATGATGCTCGCCAAATACCAACGATCATCATCCATCCTTCGTTACAGATAGAAGATCAAAGATTCAAAAACTCTGTAAACTCCGGATGGGTGGAACCAGATCTAAACTATAATTTTTTTATTGGTTATAAATTGAATATTTTATCTCTATAAAATATTTAATACTAACCAATCATACTGCATCAAACTAACAACCCACTTATTTGTAAGTGCTGCAGTTTCTTGTAATTTCAGCACCAGAGAGATTTGAATTTAACTTAGAACTTAGTTGCCTCTCCCAGAGACCGACTCGTAATAAACCAGTATACTCTAGATCTATTGAGACTAATTGAGACTAGTAGATATAAGAGTAAGATTAATATCGGTAGTAGACTAAAAAGTTGCACGAATCTATCCGGCCGAAAATAAGATAGCATGACGAGCAGACGGTGTACCCTATCTAAGTTTACTCCATGAGTTAGACCTAAGAACTCAACTCAATTGCTTTCTGCAAAACACACAATGAGCACTTTTTATGAACATATTGACAAATTTATTTTGATAGACAAAAAGCAGACGGTATAGCTGTTAACAACGCGGGGGTTACCACTTTTGATTTAAGCATCTGTCATTTTTATTTTCGACAGCCAGTGAACCGTCAACAAACGCTCAAAAGATTGTTAATTAATTAATTGCACAGGTATGGCGCTTTTCTGTAAACTCATCTTCAGCTGATTTTTGCCAGCTTGAGACCACGTATCACTCAATTTGAAACCACTGCATTTTTTCTAATTTTTTGATCTGACATCTGCCGTGCACAGCTGATAATTTCTTTCAAAACATTGCGACTTTTGAATGGCTCCGTTTTTGACAAAAAGTATTAGGCTTCCAGCTGCTGCTATATTTTGAGACCGTAAAATTAAAACATCAACTTTCTGAGAGCTTTCCAAACTGACCCATCGGTTAAAACTGAAATAAAATTGTATAAGTCTAAGTTTATTAAAAAATCAAACTACTCAACGTAATGCGACATTACAATTTTGTTGTCTTTTATGTTCTCACTTCAATTCGGAGGTAAGCTTTTGCTCTTCCCAGTTATACTTCTTGCATATCATAGTTACTTCAATTGACCTGAGTGATATAGGGAAATGTGAGAACCGAAAGGGAGGCAAAACATTTTTTTTCCTGTTGTTTGGGTACCCTAGAAAACCAAACGCTTCAATAGCTCAGTCTACACGTTTTTTTTTCACCACGCGGAACAAGTCGAAGTGTCATTTCTTAATTCAAAAAACTTTCTAAAGCAGTTTTTGAAAATTTTTTAGAAAAAACTATGAAATGTGCCAGCGGCGATAAAAATTTGGCGAAAAGTGTTTTTTTTTTCGGGTATCAACGGAACACTTTCTTTATCAGCTAAAGCATGGATGGTTGGCTGCTCATCAACCAGAACCTCGTTGAATCGGTTTGAAACATTATGACTAGTGCAGTGGCGTGCGCAGAAGTTTTTTTATGGGGGGGGGGGCTGTTTTTCGAAAAACATTGAAAATTTTTCCAAGCTTTTTTTAGTTGGAATAATTTCTTTTTCTGAGCTCTCCGAAAATACTATTGGGACCCTATTTTGTCATAATAGGGTCCCAAAAAAATTTTCGTCGCAGGAAAATTAAAAAAAAAACAGGTTAAAAAAGGCGTTTTTAGGCACTTTCTGGAAAACGGTGACCAAAAAATTGCGTTTTTTTGGCGCGCGCTCTCCCATCAAAATTGTTCAAAATGGCGCCCCTGGCGCCTTTAGTACCAAACGCTTCCTTACGCTTCCTTCCTTCTCAGGGATTTTGCCCCCTGCCGAGCCAAAGGTCCCCCCCCCCCCCGCTTTGTACTATTTTGAGATATTCATTTTCAAAATTTTTTCTACAAACTTGTGAAGGGGGGAGCGCGCCAAAAAAATGCCATTTTTGGTCAACATTTTCCAAAAACTGCCTAAAAACGCCTTTTTGTCTTTTTTCAAAATTTTGATTGCGGCACAGAAAATTTGGCCAAAATTTCGGAAATCAATTTTTAAAAATCCGCACCCCCCTCGAGAAAATCCTAGTTCCGCTCCTGTAAGCAACGATTCGTAACAGGCTACAATTCGTAACAGGCGATAATTCATAACTATAATATTGAATCTAAAAAATCATGCGTGTAAAAAAGTTCAACTGACAAAAAAACTTAACGTGGAATGTGATGAAATAAAACTAACGAGTTATCCCAAAGCAAACAGCATATTTTGCCATTGTTGATGCGAAAATATCACTAAAAAACTTTGAAGAACAAAAATGAACCAATATCAATCTGATACATTTAGGCCAATCCTTGGAGATTTCCAAAGTTCCGTTTTGGCTAAACATAACCTACATCGTGGAAACGCTGGGTTGACTTTGATGCAGTGGAATGCGAGCTTAGGTAAGACACTTTTTTCTATATTTTGCGGAAAATGTGGAGCATGTTTCAAGTGAATTATGATTTGATAGATCTGAACAAAATTTTCAAGGAACTTTTTTTAAAAAAAACTTCACTGGGGAAGGACATTTTGTTTTGGCTTCTCTCACAAATCAATTATTAACAGTTTTTATACTAATTAAAACTCTTGCTCAAATTTTGTATATAGAAGTAATTTTGCTTTTTGATGAATTATCTGCACCAAAGTCGTTATCACAAAGACTTGTCACGCAAAGCGGAATGCAGAGTGGAAATTTTTAATGAATTTTGGTTTCAAACTGCTATCAATTAAATTTTGAAGAATGCCTCGGTGTCCAAAAAAGAGTTTGAAGATGATCTCTTTCTGAAAACGTTTACGTGGAATAGTACTTTTATCTGAGGATGATATTGACTGATAACAAGAAGAGTCTAAGTTCACATAAAATTTACATTCATTGTACTGTCATTATTTGAAAAACTGTTATAATCAGATTTTTCATCTAACCTGAATTCCTTATTATCTCTCCCTTCCTTCCACAAAAAAGCAGCAGAAAATTTTTTATGTGAATGAATTTGACTCCATGTGATTGAATGAAATTTTGATAAATGAATTTGACTCCATATTAGCCCGCACCGAGCACCCATGGACTCTAGTCGATTATAATGGATTCTCGAGACAAAAACAATCCATTATAATCCATTACAGATGTACAATTTAGACAATGAAATCGGTTATATTGCCATTATAATCGAATATTTTTGATCAAAAAAAGTCCATTATAATCCATTATAGTCGATTACAATCCAATATTTTTGGCACTGAAATCGATTACTTTTACCAAGATAATCCATTATAATTGATAATTTTTGCAATAGAAATCAACTATAATCGATTATAATACATTTTTTTTGAACTAAATTCGATTATTTTTGCAGAATTTTTGCAAATTTTGCAGGAAGCTTGGGCTCTTTTCCAGCTTCCCACTCCCTCATAAAGGTACAAAATGAAACGTTGTAAAAATTTGCATGTAGGAAACGTTGTAAAAGTTTGTTCCTTTACTAAATGCCATGTCTCAACGTCACCCCTCAAGTATTTTTTAACTCCCCCGATTAAAGAGGGGGTTAAACTGGGTGGGGGTGCCGCAATCATAAACCCCCTCCCCCAAAGTCAGCTGGGGGAGGTTCAAAGTAAACTGTTAACTGGGGGGGGGGGGTAAAGTATACGGGTTGAAGGGGGTGTTAAATTAAACTGGTGGGGGGACGGGGGGCGGATTGGTGACGGGGGGGGGGGGGGTGGTGACGGGGAGGGGGGAAATAAACGGGGGGCTCTGCCATTAAATAATTCCACCTCCCCCCTAGCACCGTTCAAACCATAATTTATAAAGTATACGGGGGGTAAAGTATACGGGGGGTAAAGTAAACGGGAGGAATGGGGGTGCTAAAGTAAACTTGTGCGGCGAAGGGGGGGGGGGGAGTACACTGGGGGAGGCAATGTAAACGGGGGGTTCTGCCATTAAATAATTCCACCTTCCCCTAGCACCGTTCAAACCTTAATTTATAAACATATAAATTTTAATGTCAGACAAAAAAATAAATTTTTAAGCGCTCTACCCTCTAAATTAGTATATTTTAGCGCCAAAACGCCTTTAGATAAGTTTCGGGGTCCGTCATCAAAAATGGATATCTCAAATTACTACAATGGGGGGATCTCTTGGGTCGGCTGGTGGTCGAATCCCTGAGAAGATGAGAAAGGCGTCCGCATCCGCCCCTGCTCCTATCCTAGTTTGCTCCCTCCCTTAGTTTATCCCCTCATTCTACGTCTACTGAACGTGGATAGGGGAAAAGCTAAAATTCAGGGGGAGGTGGAAAACTTGGAGGAATTGGAAGTAAAGGTACTGATGTGGTCTGTGGAACGTATTTGAGGTTGTACCTTTGTACTTATGCAAAATTTCAACAAAAAATTATTCTAGTTCTGAAAAAATTATTATGATTGATAATAAGGGGTTCTATTTTTCAAAATTAATTGATTAGAGGGTTTAATTTGCCAATATTAGTTTCTTTATGTGCCAAAAATAATAACTTATATTAGTTATAGATTTTAATGGAATTTTTTAAATATTAGGTTCTAATGGCAGTACAATAATTTTTGTTGTCTAAATTTGCAATATCTGTAATAGATTAAAATGGATTCATTTGTTTCAGAAATCCATTAACATTGCTTCTATATGCCATAGGCGTTCGGTGCGGGTAGATTTAACAGTAATAAAACTTATTCACTTTAATTGACGGTAATTTATCTATGTTTCAGCTGCAAAAGCCCAAGAACACACTGACAGCTTAACGCAACCTGCAGATAGCTGTACATTTGCTCATTCGACATCCGCCTTCCGAGATATGGGACAAGGTAAAATGAATCACTATTTTTTTTGCAGTAGCGAATTATGAAAGGAGGAGCTTTGTTGCTGTAGTTGGAAAAAATGCACGTTATCCCAATGCAATTTGTTTGTATCAGAGAAAGCTCATAGGAGATTAATTGTAGTATCGTATTGAAATCTTTTTGGTGATGACTCGGGTTTCAAAAAAAATCAGAAAATGTATTTTTCATGTTTCCAAACTTTTTCCCCGACTTGATATTTTGGGTTGAACAAAAAAATATGCAAAGAAACGAAATTCAGCTTGTCTTTTGTTGCGTATTTTTCTTTCACGAAAGGGAAAAAATTAGATGTCGATTTCAATGTTTTGAATGCATTCTCAAATCCCTATAAATTCACCGCGGTTCTTGTGCGTTTCCATTTTGAAGTTCTTACGTGATTTAAGTTTCAAAGCGTTCCTTAAATGTCCTGAAAAAAATTTTTTTTTTTGCTGGTTTATGAAGTGATTGAAAAAAAAATGGATGACATCCCTTCACGCCGACCCAGAAACAATTAAAATCAAATTTTTGAAAAGTTTGTTGTTTGGTTTGCGTTTGTTAAGTGTGTATCGTTTTCAGGGGCTCCAATTACTTTGGTCTGAAATTATTACGTTCTATCTATATTGCAGTACAAATAAATGACTCTCTCCATGAGTTCCCCTTTAAAAAGATGTGTTAACAGCAGCAATTTTTGCTGAATTTCTGGAGTTCGGAACAAAATGTAGCTTAAGAAAAAATTATTCTAGAATGATTCATAAGACCAGTAAACAAGCAGATGGTGTGTTAAAGGTGTCACCCTGATACGAACCGTCTTGTGATTGAACTAATCACAATAAATGACTGATGACTATTTTAGGCCAATTTCAAACTTTATGATAAAAGTAATTGCGGTTTTTGATCATTTTTTGCCTTCAAAATTTAGCTTTTTTTCATTCGAAATCAAATTCAAACCTTCTCAATAAATTTTGTTTCTATTGAAATATTGTCAAATAAATTTTATTGAAGCTGTATTATAGGTGAAAATATCTGGATGACCGGTGCAAATGGCAGGACAGAAGATCAGCTGGGCACGGGGTCCTCGTCTGCCTGGTACGGTGAAATTGACATCTATAAGTACCCGGACGACCCTACTTTAAAGTGGGACCACTGTGTTGACTGGACAAAAGTGGGACACTTCACTCAGGTGAAGACTTCAAAAAAGTGGACTTTGTGGAAAAAGTAGCTTCACGATGGTTTCAATAGCCCCTGCTTATCAGTGCTTTGTAACACATATTTAATTATTTTTTGTCTTTTTCAACAACAGGGCGTCGGGGGATCCAGAATTTTATCATGAGGACACTGATTTTGAAAAGCTTTGTAGATATTTTTTAGACAGACTAAGTTATCTTTCCGAGGTCACCCAGAACAATAAAAATGCCCTGTGCTGCAAATTTGGAATTTTTTGAAACGCTCTCAAAATTCATGTACATAGGCATCGAGGGCGCTTTTATAAAAACTTTAGGGTTTCGGGGAAAAATGTATGTCATAAGAGAAATGGGTGATAAAAGGATTAGTTATTAGTTATGAATGATATATCTTAAACAAAAATAATTTACACTGAACAATCCAATTTAAGATGATGTGGTCGACTACCACTGAAATTGGATGTGGTTTTGGAACTTGTACATTTAACGGAAACACTATTGTAACCTGCCACTATCTTCGTGCTGGAAACATACGAAATCAACCCATGTTTGCGGAGGAAAATTATAATCAGCTGATCGCTAGTGGAGAACAGTTGGCAAGATGCGGGTAGGTTTTTTCTTTTGAGTTCTTTATTGTCAAAACTTTGCGGCTGAAAACACATTTCACGAAATTTTGCTTCATTTAACCCGAATTTCTCCAAAAAAATTTAATTAGCTATTTGTTCCGGATTCCACAGAAGTAAACGGAATCCACAAGTTTTAAGAGGATTCCGCATATGTATGCGGATTTTGCAATTTTAAACGGATTCCGCAGACTCACTTGCACTTTGCGATTTCCGCTTATCATTTGCGGATTCCGCTTACAATTTCGGATTCAAAGAGAGCGCGATTTGGGTATGCAAATGTTTCAATTTCTGCTCGTTGATTTCACAAGAAATTTCGAATTCTTAAAACTTTTTTTGAGCGAATTTGAGCGAAACAGTGCTTTTTCATTTTGTTTTTGGGAACCAAAACAGCCAAGTAATCCATCAAAAAACAGCCAATGTTCTTGGAATCCAAAACAGCCTTGGAATCCATCAAAGTAAAGAGCAATATTACAAATTCAACGACAACTCTGATTGCAGCCTATTGCAGACAGTTCACAAAACACACAGATTGGTCTCGCAAGGAAGAGAAAACAATCTCTAGATGGACAAATCGAAATAGTTTTCTTATTAATTCATTTTGTGCTTTTGCTTGCAACTGTGACTCCAAAATTAAGTAAATGGTGGGCTAAAACATACGAAAGCCATATAAATTGTTTCTAACCATCCAAAATTCGTTATTGACGTTCACAAAATCCTAAAAAGTTAAAGATTTTGTCGAAATCAACGGAACTCGACGAAAGTTTGGAAAAAATTCTATTTTTTAAATATGATGTACATTTGATCGCAATGGAGATTCGATGAGCATGTAAAAGTTCTCAAGAATAATTTGGGTCAACTGAGAAAACTTAGAAATCTAAAGAACAATTGAGAGCAGAGAAAAGTTGCGAGCAACCAAAAGTTCGGTCTTAAATTATACGGAACAGCAAGAAAAACATAGATAAGTAAATTGGAAAAAAATTGTCGTGGATTAGTTTGGGTAAATTTCATTGGGAAAAATTTTTCTTGAGAAAAGTCATTGTCGTTCAACGTAAATTATATTCAATACAGAACTTGCATCGATTGAACTTTCGAAAGTTTCAAGGAAATGAATACATGGTAATAAAAGAGGAAACTCAAGAAAATTTTCTGAACAACGATATGAATAGACTCGCCTGTAGTAGTACTTCTTCAGAAAACAACTAAATATGAGGCAAGACTCTCCGACAAATGATCACCATTCAAGTTTTTCAATTGGAACTATCGATAAAAAATTCAATTTTTATCCTAAAATTATATTAGACTTTTTCAAATAATCTTCAGATAGGCAGTTTGAACAATTTTCAACCTAGTTTTGTTGACATTTTTTTCGAGTTTGGATTTTTTTTCTGATAATTTTTATAAAATCACTTGGTTTATTAGGCTAATTGGAGTGTTTTTTCCCGAGGCTTCAACAAATGTTACTTTTAGAAAAAAAAGTACCAAAAAAATTTTTTAATATAAGAATAATAAGTTTCTGAACTCAATATTGCGCGTTTATTTAATTTATTTCGATTGAAAGTATGAGTTTTAAATTGAGTTTCATGTTGTTCTAATAGATTTTAACTTACGTTGATCATAACTATATTCTTGTTTCTCTTATAATCTCACGTCTCTTTTTGCTGGCCGTTGTTTGAGCCGTGATACATGAAAATGTTGTCCACTTGTTGTTCGCGTTAAGAAGCTTGGCGGAAGAATAATACAGTTCCTAAAGTTCTCAAGTTAGGTCGTTATCACTCAATTGAGTTTTGTTTTTGTTGTCGAAAAAGAGAATATGTCCTTGGCAATTATGTTGGAGAAGAATTTTTTTAAAATAATTCAATTACAAAGTTTCATTTACTTAGGTCGATTACTAAAAACACTTTTGTTTAAATATCGTGCCACATGCAAACTTGGAAAAACTCTCGAATTTTTAGAGAATCATCTCAACAACAAAACTGTTCCTGAGTAGAATTAGCACCCTCGTTGCGGTAATTTAAAAATGGACCACTTGGGAGCTAGCTTCCGTAGGGCAGTCATTCGAATTTCGATCTGCAATTTCAGTACTCGGTTTGTTGAATCAGCTGCTGCTTCATGTATAAAAAACTTCTTAATCATTCACAGATGTTTTTTGCAGCCTTTCTGAGGAAAACTGTGCAGCTGAAATTCTGTTAAGTAGAATGAGTGATTATATTTCTATAAAGCTCAATCCAGTGTCAAAAATTCAGTGCGTCAGTGTGTCAAAAGTTTGAGGGATCGCGGGTTATCAATTCAAAAAGACTAGGCACTATGGAAATTGAAAAACTGGGTAAACAACTGAGTTAGTTTAGACAGAAACTAAACTAAAGAAACAATTTCGTAAATCGTGTTTGTTTGCATAAGAGTCCATAAAAATGGTAACCAAGGAAATCAATCGAAATGTAACATGGAAAGTAAAACTACGAGAGACTAATATCTTTGTTTTACGGAAACTATTTTCAACTGCTAAAAAAACCGGCATTTTGTTGAATTTTTATCAGAACTAACTGACAGAGACGAAAAATCCAAAATATCCGAAGCTTCTACAACATAAACAAAAATTCAATTTACTTTGCAGAAGTTGGGTCACAGCTGAGCAAACAGTTCAACCACAAGCGAAGATAGCTCTCAATCAAATTTTTTCCTTAAAAAAACTAGAGAGAAATCTGCATCAAATATCTTAAGCTACTGTTTTTGTTCTAAAAATGTTGCACAAATTTTTGTGATTTCTTTTTTCATTTCGGATAGAACTGAAAATTGCCTTGGGATTAGCAATAACAAATAAATTCATCTATTACTTCATGCACTGCATTTTCCTCAGTTTTTTCAAGTTTGCTGAAGTAAATGCAGTCCACAATGATGGAGATCTCTCACAATCGGTAAATCTTACTCTCGTTTCATTACTTATTACTTTCATTAAAATTTTTGAGCGTTGGCTCTATAATTGCACAATTTATTAGATGAGGAAAATCAAATCTCCTCAAGCCAAATCAGTTTGGTTTGCTACAAAACTTGGAAACTCTTGATACAGTTAGCTAGCTCAACGAATTTAGCAAAATCTGTGAAGGCAGTTTGCAAAAAAAGATTGTACTTTTTTGGACTTTAAACGGCAAAGAGTCTGGTCAATTTACATTTCTGGAGCCGCTTCTGAAAATAACGATAAAATTTAGAGTCCAACAAAGCTCTAGCTGTGGTGCCCTACTCTTCACCATTTACACTAATCGATTCATGATGATTTTTTGCGATTATCATCATGCTGTTTATCTTAAGATAACGATACAGTTATGATAAACAAAAAAGAAAATGACACGTTCAGCGCTGAGCTAAGGAAAGTAACCAATTGAAAACAAATTATTGCAAAACACTGAAAAGCCAAAAATGATTACATTCACAAAATCCGAAAAATATGAAGATTTTGTCGAAATCAAAGGAACTCGACGAAAGTATGGAAAAAGTTCCATTTTTTAAACAGGATGTACATTTGATCGCAATGGAGATTCGATGAGCATGTAAAAGTTCTCAAGAATAATTTGGGTCAACTGAGAAAACTTAGAAATCTAAAGATTAATTGAGAGCATAGAAAAGTTGCAAACAACCAAAATGTCAGTTTGGTCTTAATTTATACGGAACAGTAAGAAAGACTTAGTTAAGTAAATTGGAAAAAAACTGTCGTGGTTTAGTTCAGATAAAGTTTCGTTGGGAAAAATTTTCCTTGAGAAAAGTCATTATCGTTCGACGTAATTTATATTCAATACAGAACTTGCATTGATTAAAGCTTCGAAAGTTTCAAGGAAATGAATACATGGTAATAAAAGAGAAAACTCAAAGAAAGATTTTCTGAACAACGATATGGATAGACTCGCTTATAGTAGAGTTTCTTCAGAAAACAACTAAATATGAGGCAAGACTCTCCGACAAATGATCACCAATCAAGTTTTCCTATTGGAACTATCGATAAAAAATTCAATTTTCTTCCTAAAATTACATTAGACTTTTTCAAATAATCTTGCGATAGGCAGTTTGAACAATTTTCAACATAGTTTCGTTGACATTTTTTTCTTGAGTTGTTCGGATTTCTTTTCTGATAATCTTTATAAAATCACTTGGTTTATTAGGCTAATGGGAGTGTTTTTTTTCCCGAGGCTGGAGCCAATGTTGTTTTTAGAAAAAAAAGTACCAAAAAATTTTTTTAATATAAGAATCATCAGTTTCTGAACTCAATGTTGCGCGTTTTCACAACTTATTTCGATTGAAAGTATGATTTTTAAATTAAATTTATGTTGTTCTAATAGATTTCATTGTGAGAGTGACAAATATTCCATTTCTCAAAAATAAATTTTGATGCGTACAAATGTAAAAATAATTTGCCTTGCCCACAATGATCAATGATGAAAGCCGAATTTCTGCAAACGGCTGAGCCTGCAGTTAGGAATTTTCAAATAACAACTTCCTATAGGTAGAGCAATTTTTTGCAAAGCTAATCACGGCTAGTGCAGAAGCCTCTGAGAAGTATGACGACTGAACGAGATTTTACCGTCTTACCACTAAATTGACGTGCAAAAAATTTGAAATTCTCATTTCGATCTTCTAAATGGCAGTTCGAAAAGTAAAAAAATTTGCGCCATGAAGATAAGGCGGATCGCGATTGTACCTAGATGTAGAAAATTCAAAACAAAAGCATAAAATTACGCTTTTCAGGAGGGTATGATGTACAAAAAGATTTTAAAAGCTCAATTTCTTTTTTAACCTTTACTTTTGAGATGTCTTTTGTATTTTCCATTTATAGTGACTCTGGTGCCGGACAAACAACGACTGCGCCGGATCACAACCAAACTAAAGAAGACGATGACAAAACAGGGTAAAGTTTACTACCAATCTTCAAGAATGCTCTCAACTGCAGCCTCAAAAGACCCTGAAAAGAACTCCACTTAATTTTTCTTTTGTTCGTTTTACTCTTTTCATCCAAATTTAAGGCGACATCAATTTTCAAATTTGCTTTCCTGCTTGACTCCCAATGGTTTTTACAGACATTTTTACAAATATAAAAAACAAGGATAGCTGGTTACTTTGCAAGTAGTGCAGAATGTTCCGACAATAAACTTAAAACGTTTTTTGAAAAAAATTTCAAATTAGTGAAAAGATCTGAACAAAAAATTGGAGCTTAGCAATATTAAGCAAACTGAACAATATTTTTCTAGAAAGAAACTCATAAAACTATTTTTTTTCAGTTTAACTAAAATTAGGCAGAATTAAGCTATTGAAAACGGCTTAAATTGAGCCTAAAAAGCCTGCTTGCTCGCTTGGTTCACTCGAAACTAGACCAAAAATCGGAAACGAGTTTTTCTCGACACTGAGAAAAATTTTTTCTAAACTTTTTAATAGCGTTCGAATCACGCCTAAAGAGCTTCAGTACGATATATCATTCGACCCATTCCGATGATTATTTATGGTTCTTGGTTTTGCGTGCAAAACAAAAAAAAACAACACAGCCGAATACAAAGTTCCCACCCATTTTTTCAAATTGTCGGAACAAAAAATTCACAATGAGCTTGGAAACAGTTTGAACACGAAATTGTTTTAACATGAGAATGCTCTTTTTTTAAAGAAAACCTTTAACCTGATTATTTTTTTTTGAATTTGAATAGGAAACCTGGCCAAGACAACAGCGTGCAAAGGTTAAAAAACGCAACGTCAATTCAAAAAGCAAACACCGAGTAATAATCAAAACAGCACAGGGTCGTTAAAAACTTATAGTTTTTGCTTTAGTATTGAATCACTGCCTTTTCTGTTTGTAGTGCAGGGGTGACTTTAATGTGTTTAAAGCAGATAATTAGGGCTTTTGAACTATTCAGAGCTCGCAACCTAAGCAAAATTGAAAATTATCCACGATTGATATTTATGAATTTGTGTTTCAGTCTCTACGTGATCAGTGGTGTTGCGGGGGGCGTGGTGGTTGTGGTGTTTATTGCGGGGGGAGTGCTTATATGGATATGCATATGATGTGAAAGCTCACGCGTCGAAAACGCAAATTGATTTGTACTGAAAATTGTATGAAAAAGTTTATTTTTGTAAAATGTAAATTCTCAAACTGTAATAAAAAATTAATGATATTTTCACTTTTGTTCCAATCACACTTTCAGGTGCTTCATATCATGCTGATAAAGTATTTACCTGTTTATGACTATTTGTGAACCGGTATCTAATCACAAAATCGAATTATTTAAATTTAGCTCACTTGTCCTAAATAAGACAAAGCATATTTACTTTTGCACACTTATTGAAATTTTTTTTGACTAGTGCGTTAAAATGAAGAGTACATTCAAAATTACTAAAAACTGTGGGACCAGTTCAAACTAGTATTTATTATATACTGGATAGTTACCACTGTAAAATATTTAGAACTATATTTAATTAAGCGACATATTTTGAATAAAATGGAATATTTAGTATTATAATCATAAGACAACAAGACAACTCTGCCAACCCTCGAACTTAAAAATACGCCAATTTTTTTTAAGAAAACTTTCTTTGAAATTTATAAAACTAAAACAAAAAACAAAAATACAAACGATCATTAGAAATAAAGTTAATTATTGTTAGTTTGGTGACACTACCTTGCTTCTCGAAGATCATCCCTTCTTTGAATTTTTTCCTTAAGCATTCAAGAGAATTTAAAAACTAATTGAATCGAAACCAAGATCAGCAAGAACTTTCTTGGATCTTTAACCATTTTGAAAAAGTTGCAAATATTTCATCTTCAGGGACTCGCCTTGACTTTTATTTTCAATCTGTAGAATCTTTAATTTCAAATCCTAAATCATTCCATCATGGATCTTTTCCTTGAACCTTCGCTTCTCCTTGGATCTTCAACCTTAAATTTTTTCAAAGCTTCTTCAAAACCAGATCATCAAGTCTTTCCTCGGATCTCTTAAAATTCTCTTTCCCGTTCAAAATCTACTCTTTATATCCTCTACAAAAATGGTTCAACGACCTCAAAATTCATTTCACTTTTCAACTTTTCCAATCGAACAAGGACTAACAGAATTTTTTTCTAAATTTTTCACAATTTTGAGTAGGTTCGGTTACTGATTCTTCACTTAACCACTACCTTTTTTTGACCCAAGCTTTTTAAAACAGATGGAAGTAGTAAGCCCTAAAACATTATATAACGATCTACTTATGTTCTAATTATAACTGAAACTTGTGGATTGATTTACTATTCTCCATCCCTCAATCTCATATCGATCCACTTGTAAGTAAAATTACGATTACTTAATCGTAGAAAAAGCGACATACGTCTGAGAGCAGTCTGTTTTGCCGCCACAAAACGATCCGAGGTTTTAGATAATCTCACAAAAAAAGTAAGAACTACTATTCTAGGAAACAACCTTTAAGACCTGGATTTTGCATCACTCATCCTAACACTTATGTAAAAAGACAGTTTAGCAAGCAATTAAACATTAGTCTTACACAAATGTAGAACTCGAGAGTTACTTGATAAGATCTTCTGAGAACAACACACAAAGAAAACACAGGATATGTAAGATCGAAAAAACAAACAAAAAGGAAGACTTTTACCTCAAAACGAAAACAAATTTCTAAAAAACAGTTTTTCTAAGAAACGATACGCAAATTTAGAAACTAATACAATAACCAAACAAATTGACGAAAACCTACAAAAAAAACAAACGATCAAAACAAAAAATAAAACAAACAACTTGGTTTCTGATTCAGAAGCAACAACAGCATCAATTAAAAACTGATATAGCAGAAAACGAGTACAAAGATACACTTGGAGTTAACCCTTACGACATACTGAAACTTAAACATTTACAGTAACACGACATAAAAAAAAGACTCATTAGGACGAAAACTTTGAGCATTATTCTATCCTACAATTTGTCTTAAAACCCACCAGTGACCTTTCACGCGGTCAAATACAAATTTGTCGCAACCTCACAAAATTTTATTTCAAAAAGGCAATAGCCCATGTCAACAAGAATTTGCAGAAGTAAAAATTAAAAGGCATAACCCAGACATTTACCAGCATTTGTAACTTAACCTCAAAATATTCACTATTGAATTTCTAGTGTCAGGTTTCAGTAAACACAGCCAGACAGAAACTGAATAAAAACAGATGATACAAAACTAAGGTTTTGAAGAAATGATCACAAGTCTACAACACCAAAGTTCACAACGGGCAGACTCGATATTCAAAAAGATGTTTTTCAGTCAAACATAGCTAATTATCCTATTAGACCGAAATGAGAAATTTTAATTATCTCCACCACAAGTATCCCGGCATACAGCAAAGAACAGAAATAAATCTCTTCTTATGGTATTTGTTTTCAATTTGCAAAAAACTCACTGATATTGTTTATTAAAGTTCGGCATACACAAATGTCAAAATAAAAAATTTCTATCACAAAAATTACATGCATGGTTTATGATAGATGATTTTCAATGCAATTTGAAAAAAAAGTTTTTCTCACACTGTGACAAAGACACGACTTTGGCAAATGAAACACATATTGTATAGGAACCCGAATTATCCCAGGAGTTGTTTTTTGACAAGACAAGTGATTTTTCAAGCTCAACAAAAGATAGTGAAAAAAACCGCCCCCAAGGTTTTTCTCCAAACAACATATTTACTTCTCTACATAGAAGAAACGAAATATCAGCATTGATTAAATCTACCCACAGGTTAATTCCACACACAGATTATGGATAAACCGGTCAAAAGCATCAAGTTTTCTTCAAAACAATGAAATACAACGAAGCCCAAACACTCTTTTTGCTTACAAACAACAAAATTTAGATGAAACGTACGAACAAATTATAGAACAACACCACAAAGTTAATTTTCGTTTTCAGATCGATAATAGTTTTAGACCTCAAAGAGCCGTCAACTCGGATCCATCCAATACTCTCTTTCCAATCATTATAATCTCCATCGTCAAAAACCTATCATTTCCATCTCTGACCTCACCTCTTCTCCATTGCCGGTATACAATTCCGATTTCTCCACTTTTTCACCAAATTCACCTGACATGCACTCTGATGATTGTATTCAAGCAATTTTAATACACAAGAGGTTTTCAAATCAGTACCATCCTTTCCCATTCAAAGCCTACCCTTTATTACCTCTATAAAAATGATTTAATGACCTCAAAATTCAATTCACTTCTCAGCTTTTCCAAACGAACCAGGACGAACTGAATTTTTTTCTAAATTTTTCACAATTTTAAGTAAGTTCGGTCACTCATTCATCACTTGACCTCTACCTTTAATTTGATCCAAGCACATTAAAACACATGGAAGTAGTAAGCCCTAAAATATTATATAACGATCTGCTTGCGTTCTATTTATACCTGAACCTTGTGGATTGATTTACATTTACTATTCTCAATCCCTCAATCTCATATCGATCCCCTTGTAGTTAAGATTAAGATTACTTAATTGTAGAAAAAGCCACATCCGTTTTGTCACGACTGTTTAAATGTAGAAAAAGCCACATCCGATCAATCTGTTTTGTTACGAAAAAACGACCCGAGGTTTTAGATAACCTCACAAAAAGAGTAAGAACTAACATTTTGGGAAACAGCAATTAGGACCACTGTATCACAATTAAGATTTTGGATCACTCATCCGAACACTAATGTAAAAAGACAGTTTAGCAAGCAATCAAACAATAGTTTTACACAAATGTAGAACTCGAGACACTTCATACGATCTTCTTATAACACCACACAAAGAACATATAGGATATGTAAGATCGAAAAACAAACAAAAAAGGAAGACTTTTTGTCTCAATACGAAAACAAATTTCAAAAAAAGAGTTTTTCCAAGAAACGATACGCAAATTTAGAAATCGATAGAATAACCCTACAATGTGACAAAAACCTCCAATAGAAAAATACGATCAAACCAAAAAATGAAACGGTTAACTTGTTTTCTGAATCAGAAGAAACAACAGCATCAATTAAAAAAATTATACGTTGAATAAAAACTATTATAACAGAAAACGAGTACAAACATACACTTGGAACCAACCCTTGCGACACACTGAAACTTAAACATTTACCGTAATATCACAACAAAAACGACTCATAACGACGAAAACTTTGAGCAGATTTCTATCTTACCATTGGTCATAAATCCCACCAGTGACTTTTCACGTGGTCAAATACAAATTTGTCACAACATCACAAAATTTTATTTCAAAAAGGCAATAGCCCATGTCAACAAGAATTTGCAGAATTAAAAATAAAAAGGCAAAACCCAGACTATTACCTGCCAAGAATATGTAACTTAACCTCACAATACTAACAATTAATTTTCTAGGGCCAGGTTTCAGTAAACACAACCAGACAGAATAAAAACAGATGATTCAGAACTAAATTTTCGAAGAAACGATCACAAATCAACAACAACATCAAAATTCGCGAGGAGCAGACTCGATATTCAAAAGGACGTTTTTCAGTCACATATAGCTAGTTTTCCCTATTAGATAGAGAAGAGAAGATTTACTTATCTCCACTACAAACATCCCGACATACAGCAATAAGAACAGAATTAGATCTCTTCTTATGGTATTTGTTTTCAATTTGCAAAAAACTCACTGATATTGTTTATTAAAGTTCGGCATACACAAATGTCAAAATAAAAAATTTCTATCACAAAAATTACATGCATGGTTTATGATAGATGATTTTCAATGCAATTTGAAAAAAAAGTTTTTCTCACACTGTGACAAAGACACGACTTTGGCAAATGAAACACATATTGTATAGGAACCCGAATTATCCCAGGAGTTGTTTTTTGACAAGACAAGTGATTTTTCAAGCTCAACAAAAGATAGTGAAAAAAACCGCCCCCAAGGTTTTTCTCCAAACAACATATTTACTTCTCTACATAGAAGAAACGAAATATCAGCATTGATTAAATCTACCCACAGGTTAATTCCACACACAGATTATGGATAAACCGGTCAAACGCATCAAGTTTTCTTCAAAACAATGAAATACAACGAAGCCCAAACACTCTTTTTGCTTACAAACAACAAAATTTAGATGAAACGTACGAACAAATTATAGAACAACACCACAAAGTTAATTTTCG